TCAGCGACACAGACCCAGACAGCGTGCCCGAAGAGTTTGTAGTTTTTGAGCCACTTGAAGCGCTCGACAGAGTGCAAGCGATACAACAACTCTTGAGCTTGTACCGCATGAGGGTAGATGTGCCGCATGAGCCAGACATGCCTAGTGTGGTGAGACTCATGATGCATCAAGTGCCAGCGTGGAAAGGAGAACAGCTTAGTGCCATTAGCCTCTTCACAGACGGCAGTTACAAGCCTGCCGGAAACGAGGACATGAGCAGTCCTGAGATCGGATGGGCCTTTGTTGCAATAGGAACAGTGGCCTCCTTTTCCAGCTCATTGCATGTCCCTGGCGAGTGTCGTTTCCGGATTGTTGGTGTCACGTGTGGAAACACCTTGCCAAGCGCGTGGCAAGCGGACTGCCAATCTGCGTACACCGCTGAACTCGCGGCTCTAGCCATGGCAGTTCTGAGCGCCCAAACGGCCCCAGCAGGCTGCGCAGTCAGCGTCCACTACGACAACAAAAGCGCAGGCGAGATAACTGCAGGCGCAGCGTGCCCGAGCGCGTGCGTCGGTCTCGCAAGAGCAGCCCGCGCACTTGCGCAGCACCTTCAGTGTGATCAACGCACATCCATGCCCACAGCCTTCACCCTTGGAATGAATGTGCTGATTACTTGGCAAAGCTAGCTAGGGAGAGGCGCTTTGTGACAGTAAGCCAGCACGATTTTGCTGATATGCCCCAAGGTCCGGCTTTGGAGTGGTTGTGTGTTGAACAGCAAATGCAACAGCGCAGTCAAGAACTGCCCCACGCAGAGTCAGGCTTGTTACTCGCAGAGAGCGGCCATCTGCAGTGCTGCTTGGAGAAGTGGATGCCACCAGCTGGGAGCGGCCTGCCAGCTCGCAGCGATGTCCAAGAAGGCAAGCAACTCATTACCATCGCAGGTACGCTCATTACCTATAATGCACTGACGTTGAGGCAGCAAGGCAAAGTTGAAGTGATTCAGCGTCAGCTTGCCGAGCATCACCCTATTGCGGTTGGCATACAGGAGAGCCGGTCAAAGCGCTTGATCCAAGAGGAGGCAGGCAGCACTTGCCCCTTCCACCGATTTGCTACCCCTTGCGACAAGCAAGGCAACTTTGGTGTTGAGCTCTGGCTAAACGCCAGGGACGATTTTGTGACTGCGCAAGGCAGAACTTACGGGTGGAAATGGAGCCAGCTGTGCCTGCTGCACGCCACAGAGCGCATAATTATAGTGACAGGGCAAATTGCCGGACTGACTTTTGCCGTCACTGCTGCCCATGCGCCGTGGCAACCGGATGAAGCGCAACACTGGTGGAAAAATGAGCTTGCGCGAGCATTTGAAAAAATCCCCGGGAAGGCAATCATTTTGGTCATGGTTGATGCAAACGCACTTGCGCAAGCGGATGCCACGACAGAAGAGACTGCAGCAGCGCTGCGCAATACGGAACACATGCAGCAGTTTGTGGATGCCCATGACCTGTGCCTCTCGACCGGGCAAGGGCCACGTCAGTGTCTCCGCCAAACATGACAAACCTCGCCGAGGAAGATGCATTGACTACATCGCCGTGCCGGCCAGCCTAAGAGACACGCTGCAGCCAGCGCGCGCCCTTGACATAGACAATCTCTTGCCTGTAGAAGACCATTCTCCGGTTTTGCAAGCAATTGAAATGACAGTTGAAGCGCGCAAGCCAGTGAGGGCTGCCAAGTCCTGTCGGTTTGACATCAGCAAGATTAATTCGCCGGAGGGAAAGGTAAAGTGTCAGCAAATTGCAGAAGGCATCCCAAAAGTTGCTTGGAGCGTCCCAGCGACTGAGCACTGTGCAATTGTTGATGCCCACGTCCAAGCCCAGCTCAAGCAGGCTTTCCCGCAACAGCAGCAGCGCAGGAAACAAGCTTATCTGAGTGATTTTGCTTGGAGCATACTCGCGCAGCGGCGAAACCTCAAACATATTGCTGCAGCGCACAAGCAAGTTGATGGCAGGCATGTTTCATGGATCTTCTTCCTGTCTTGGAAGCACTACCACCAGGCGCGTGGCACGCGCATGCCAGGGTTCTTTGCTTTGCGGCGACTGCGCCACCAGTCCTGCGCCATAGTGATGAAAGGGCTATGTGAACTCAACAAGCTTTTCCGAAAGCAAGTGCAGGTTGACAAGGCTTTTTTCGTTCATAACGCAATGCAAGACGCAAGAGCTGCCGGACAGGGCGCCATTTTCAGGTTCCTGCGCCCAATGACACAGTCCAAGAAGCGAAGGCAGAACTTTGTGTCTGCGGCCATCCGCAGAGATGACGGCACTTTCGCAGCCACCAAAGAAGAAGTGTTGCAGGAACTCACGCAGCATTTTAGTGCAGCAGAACGTGGCACCACGTGCAGTCCTCAAAAGGTGCGCAGCTTGCATGACGCAGCGCAGAAGCGCGCCTTTGAAGAGTGGCGCAAACAGGAAGAACCGATCTTCTCCAGCACCGTGCCATCTTGTTTACAGTTCGAGCAGGCCCTCATTCGGCTGAAGCCAAAGCGAGCCGCTAGCTTCTCGGGCGTGCCCGCAGATTTTTGGCGGCAAGCGGCCAGCCATGCTGCACCACGTGTCTTTGCGCTCATGCTAAAGACATTTTTGTGCTTTGACGAGCCTTTGCAGTGGAAGGGGTCCCTCATCCGGCCAATTCCTAAAGGACATGTTACCAGTGAGCGCAGCGAAAATTGGAGACAAATCGCCTTGATTGAGCCGTTGGGGAAAGCAGTGCACTGGACAGTGAGGCAGAAGCTCTTGCCAAGCCTTGAAAACGTCGCGTTACCTCTGCAACTTGGCGCCCGAGCAGGAAGGCCAACTGTCTTAGCAGGGCACGCAGTGAGACTTCACTTCAGCATTGCAGCGCGCAAAAAGCTTTCCGCAGGAGCCTTGTTCGTAGATGCCAGGCAGGCTTTCCATGCCGTCATTCGTGATGTCTTGTGGTCCGGCTGCTACAATGATGCGCAGGTCCACAAACTGGCCCGAACCATCACAAGCGATCCTGCCGAGATAAGCCTGCTTGTCGAAGCTCTGCGAAAGCCTGATGCCTTTTCCCAGGCATGTGTCCCACCTCATTTGCAGCACGTTGTAAAATCGCTGGGTTTGTCTTGGCGCCAGATCGCCAAGACATTGTTGTCAGCGCCACGGGCAGCCGCCCAGGCGATCCGCTTGCAGATTTGGTTTGGGCATTCGCTTTTGCTATCTTCATGCGTGAGACCACTTCTAGCCTAGCAGCAGCAGGTGTTCAGGCTTCCATATCTTGGGAGGGATGGTGTCTGTGGAGCCAGCGTGCCAAGCGAGGAGCCCGCGCATGAGGTTGCTTACACTCCGCCGTCTTGGGCTGATGACGTTGTCTTTCTTTTGAACGCAGACAGCGCAAGGCAGCTGATTGAGCATGTGCAGGTCACCGCACGCATAGTGCAGAATCGCTTGGCGCGCATAGGGGTCACCCTCAATCTGAAGCCTGGCAAAACGGAAGCGGTGCTTCATTTCCATGACCAAGGAGCATGTGCAGCACGCCGCTGCATTCTTGTAGAGCAACAAGCGTGGATACCGTTTGAGAGCGAGCAGGGCGACCAACTTGCCTTGCACGTCGCAGAGTCTTATCAACATCTTGGAGCTCGCATTGTTGCAAAAGACACGCTTGTTCCCGAGCTGAAAGCGCGCGCTGTGCAAGCTGGCGCAGCCTTGAACGGTTTACTACGCAGTGTTTTTGCGAACCGATGCCTGCCCCAGACCCTCAAACGGTGCCTCTTCGTGCAGCTTGTGCAAACCAAGCTCCTGCACCACGCTGCAACATGGAGTTTTCGCACTCAGAAAGAGCAACAGACCTTTCACACGATCTTCCTGCAGCTTTTGAGGCGCGCGCATCGAAAGATGTTTGGTCAGTGGCAGCGCCAGGCGACAGATGCACAGGTTGTGCATGACATGCAGACACTTTGGCCTGAAGAAATGTTGCAGATAGAGCGTCTTAGACATTATTCCACACTTTTGCGGCACGGCCCGCCCATGATCTGGGCCATGCTGAGGGTAGAGGAAAGTTGGTTGGAGCAACTGCGCCTTGATGTGCAGTGGGCGCTTGAAATCGCCACATTTCAAGGCTACCGGGGTCAGCTTCTGGATTCCGACTGTGCTGCCTTTGAACAGTGCATTATTGCGCAGCCTGAGGCATGGAAACACTTCCTGAAAACTATCGTTAAGAAGTTGCAGCGGCGTAGTGAAAGGCTCAGCCTTGCTTTTGCGTGGGAAGGCCGCATGTGTGAAGGCCTAGCAGAAGCGTCGTCAGTTGTGCTGAATGATTACGCTGTGAATGAGTCGGGGAGCCCAAAAACCTTTGCCTGCGCGACGTGCCTCAAAGTTTTCGACACGGCTGCCAAACTTGCGGCTCACCAGAACACGCAACACAAGCAGCGAAGTGCCGCGTATAAGCACGCCCGAGGCACGCAGTGCCTCGCGTGCCTCCGCGAGTACCACTCAACGCGCAGACTTCAAGACCATTTGAGGCTGACGCGACAGTGTCTTGCCCGCTTGCAGGAGGCTGAGATTGATTGCCCAGAGCTTGAGGGCAACGTAGTCAGAGGCGTTACAGCCTTCAAGCCGGTTGTTCGTTTGCCAGGGCCAGCGGCGTGGTGGGCCACGCTTGATCCGGTTGCTGCAGCGTGCCCGCCGACCGAGACTGCCTGTCCTAGCCAGAGCCAGGCCATAGCAAGTGTGCTGACGCAGAGTCTACCGAGTGAGCAGCCTTGCGGCGAGGCCTTTGTGCGCTTCGTGCCCCTGATTGTCAGAGCAATGCTGCCTTTGTTAAAAGCCACAGACGCCAACAATGACTTGCGCGCAGAACATGTGCAGCAAGCAATTGTGCTAGCGGGTTGCGCCTGCGATCCAACTTTTGTTGCCAGGGTTGTAGCATCTGCGGCTTGGGTTCTGCTGTCCAAGGATGAGTATTGTTACTCCATTAGGCATGCATGGCAAGCGACGCGGGTTGAAGGGAAGGTTTTAATCACGGACCTGGCGCACTTAGCTCTTGGCAGGCTAGCGCAAGTGCCAACTCACCCGAAGTACGTCTTGCTCTTGTATGCTGACAAGCGCAGTGAGTGTGACATCCAATACTATCTTGAAGGTCTCTCGTGGGATTGGCAGGTTCCGGTTGTGTGTTTGCCAGTCAATGCTGCCGGGAGCAAGCGCGGCAGCTTGCCAGATAGGACCAGCTGTTGCCGCTTACTTCACTTGATTCGCGCGGGGCACGTTCTCGGCGCGGTGGCTGCGCCACCGTATGAGTCTTGGACAGAGCAGCGCAGCAACAACAAGGGTGCAAGTGTCGGTAAGCCACGTGGAGCCAGGTCAAGGCAACACCCTTGGGGGCAAATTGCACTGTCTTCGGAGGAGCATTTGCAAGTTACGAGTGGGTCGGACTTGCTTCATTTTGCATTGGAAGTCTTCCTTACTTGCTACAACTGTCAGGTGAGCGCTTTGCTTGCACACCCATCCAGACCCGAGAAGGCAAGTTCGCCGTCCATCTGGCGGCTGCCCATAGTGCGGCATATGCTGTCGCTGCCAGGCATACGTGTAATAGAGCTGATGCAAGGATGGATGGGAGCACCCAACCCATCGCCGACATTCTTCTTGATTTACAACATGCCGTTGATTGAAGAAGAAATTGGTGCCAGAGCAGACTTTAAGCCTGCCGACACACATCAGGACGCTTTCCGTCAAACAGTTCGCGGGCTTCCCTTGGAACCTTTGGCTTTTCCGGGCCCACTTTGTGACTCTATTGCTCATTCCTTTGTGCACGCAGCAAGGGCTCGCGCTGGATTGCCCGCGCCCGCCCCGCTGCCACATCAGGAGGCTGAGCTCCTTGAGGCATTGTGTGTGTCGTGGGATCCGTACTTGCTGGCTGACGAAGGTGATCCGTTTGTTTGAGCCTGGAGTTTGCCCTGCAGACAGTGCATCAGTGCATGTACAGACACACTGACTTGTTTGTTTTTGGGGCCTTCTCCTTCTTTCCCCCCCCCCCAATAAATCGCTGCGTCGAACAGACACTGTGCGCTATCGCAAAGGCAAAGGCAAAAAGGTGTTCCTGTTGACAGTCCTTAAGCCAGTCCTAGGGTTCCCAGCCTCGAACAAACCCCTTTGAATAAGCCGATCAGTCAAGGCAAGGCAATACTGGTTTGAGGGTCACCGAGTCACCACGAAAACCACGCATTCTCCCGTTGTTTTTACACTCCAGACACCCATGCTTGTTTCTTGCCATTCGCAAAAGGAGCATCGTCAAAGGCGAGCCCAGTGTTCACTGCTGGGTCAAGATGGGATCGGATCACCCGACCCATGGGTTCGAACAAATGGACACCGATTCGGATACGGGTTGTCCTTTGGCGTAAGGGATCAGAACCTGCTCAACTCAGAAGGGACCTGGGCAGAGGTGATTATCGTTTGGAACCTCCAAAGAGGGACATGGTTTCCCAAAAGGTGTCAGCTTCCCTGGAGTTTCGCTGCCAAAAGCGGCAACGAAGTTACGACGCGGTGGATGTCCAATATTCCAGTGCCACTCGGGATCCAAACTTTTGGGAAGCTGAGGGACCCCTGCATCCATTTGCTGAAGTCTACTGGAAACAATGAGAAAACACAAGTCCAGTAGTGATAGATTCCCTTATACATCAACAGGGGAAATAAAACACATGTGAATGTATGTATATGTATATAAATTATACACACACTCATTTCAGCAAACGGAAGCCTGTGAAAGCATGTCCGGAACCTTATATATATATATATATGTATTTCCGTCGCGGGGCCTTCATCAAAGTCTCATTCGCGCCAGCCGCCCGGATCTTCTGACGCTGCAGCAGCTCCACACAGAGCCCTGAGGCTTGCATCATGCAGAACCCTCCCTGAACTATGGGGGGGGGTCCTTTGTTTGGGTGGTTTTAAGGGGAGCCCAAAAAGGGAAACCACAAATTTGAGGGGGTCCAACCATGCCAATATACAAAGGGGGTCTCCTAGCCAAGGGAAGGAGTAGAGATTCAAGTTGGGAGGGGGGCTTAGAGATCTTGCGGATGGTTAGCCCTTGCACCTACATTGGAAGCGAGGGATGGTAACACCCTCAGGAATTTGTCAAGTGTTCCACCAAGGGGTCCACCAGGGTTGGTTGCACACGTGCAACAACCAGACGCGACTCAGCCCCCTTGCAAAGGGAAATTCAAGGAGGATGTTCAAGCAATCCCAGACCTCCAGTGTTCATGGGATATGGCCATGTGTCAAAAGCCCGTACCCCCAGTGAACATCCCAATCCCCATTAAAATATACCAAAATGGGTGGTGCACCTACCCCAACATGGTACCATTGTTTTTTTTCACCCACAGCCATATGGGGAAGGAAGGCTCCCTTTTGTATTAAGGGAACCCCTCTCAAAAAAGGAAATGGAAAAGGAAAGCACTTCAATGGGGGTCTGGGCAATCGTGGTTAAACGTGTTCAAACCAGGATCCACCTGATAAGGCTGCGATCGATGCGAAAGGAGCCGCGACTCCAAAACATTAATGTGTTGCAAAGCAGCACACCTGGAGATCTGGGTGCCTTTAGTGTTCAGCCTTGAGTAGTGCAATTTGAACAATTTGCTTGGCTAGACACAGCTGGGTGTAGCAATTGTGCTTGTGAAGCACCGTGATTTTTCCAACAGTGCTTGAAACAGCCGCGAGCATCGAGTAGCAACCCTTCATGGTGTCTTGCAGCCTGAAGAGTTGCCCTTCCAACGCGGGTCCATGCAACCTCCCCCCCAAATGGGACCCAAACTACGACATGCTGAAGGGCCCAGACATCATACTGGTGCTCAGTAGGGAATGTGGGAATGAACCTGAAAAAATCCTGAAAGGAAACCATTGGATGGTTTTGGTCGGGGTCATTCTAGTTCTCATTCCCTGCCTATCGCACCGGGCACCAGGGCCCACAAAACCACCGGATTTGAGAAGCCATCAGATCCGCCTGGCTGTACATCCGGGCGGATCGGGTAGGGAAACCAGGCAACAAACTTCAAAACCTCCCTTTGACACATATCTAAAACCCAAAGTGGCATATCCTTGGATCCCCCCCCCAAAAAAAAAAACGGGGGGAGAGAGGGGGGGAAACGAGACAAACCCAAAGCGAAAAAGGGCCTGCAAAGCGCTTGAAGGTGCGCGGCACACGCAGCGAGGGATGCACCTCCGAGCTCGGCTGGCTTCAGAGTTTAAACATGGAACGCCACGATGTGTCTAGACGCATTTTCCGTTTAAGGTTTGCATTTGAGCAAAGCTGCTTTATATCTAAGAAAAAAATGCTCTAAAATGGTTGGTCCCTCGAAGCGAAAATCCTTTAATTTTAAAGGGTCAAATGGGAAAACCTGGTTTTTGGGTTTTCCAAGGAAAACACCTGGTATTTCACTTACATCCTTTATTTTGGCACTTTTCGCAAGCGAAATGTCGGATGTTTGAAGAACAGAGCAAGCATGTGTTGAAAGGAGCCGCCAGGTTTCTTTCACTGCCAATTTGTATATTGGGTTTCTAGATGGTTTTGGGAATCTCTTGTGGTTTCCTTTTGTACCGTCAAGTGCGCGATAGCCCCCTGCTCCTCAAGATTGGAGCTCAACAGGCAAGGGTAGACGCGAGGGCATGGTCAGCCAAAACTCAAGAATGAAGCGAGACAACCAACTTGAATGTACAAGTGTGCAGTTCACTACATGACCATCAGTAGCTCTGCGTGATTGACACATCATGCTCAAGCATGGTACTTCTTTTGCATATTTTAAGACATCAGGCAGTATCCCAAAGTGGCACTTGCATTCGTTACTTGGCCTGGCGCACAAGCCAAATGCCAACAAAGCTGGCCTCCGCCTAAGTCGCACTTTCTTCCAGCACCCAGAGATTCCTCATAACTTCAATTCGATGGGAAGCACAGTCCAAGCCAAACATGTTGCGTAGTACGTGTTTGTGCCCGAAAACCTTCGGACGTTCTACCGCAATGTCATACAAAACCAGTTCGCTGCTCGCGCAATCTAGCCGTGTGCCGGCTTTTCTGTGCTGGAAGGCTTCTGGAAGGGCGAGCGCGTGCGCAAAAAAAAGAAACCCATAAAAATCCCCTACGAATCCCATACAAACCCATATTTTTCCGAAAACCAGGTTTTTCCTAACCCGTACAAAAACCGTACAAATCCCATAAAAATACCGTACAAACCCGTACGCAATTTATGGGATTTTCAGCCTCTGCTCAAGCAGCTTTCCAGGCCCGAGTTGCCCGAAATAAGCTTGCAAAGTGACCCTGCGAAAAGTAGTCATTCATGTGTTCGTCCCACGCGTCTTTTACTACCTGCTGTCCAGTGTTCAAAGTGGGTTATGTTCTTTTGGCTCGCTCCAAAAATGATGTTCCTGCTACGTTTTAGACAAGCCTGCGAGAAGCTCCGGGATCAATGCTTTAGCACGGGACTTGGTTGTCAAACAAGTGAGCATTTGCAAGACGGCCCTCCAGACGTATCCGACGCGAGCTTTACGCAAACAGTCCCAAGCAGATTGCTCAGTGCCATACACAACATGTATACACGTGCAGCAATCGCTTGCGGTAAACTGGGACTACTTGTTGCCCTTGTCACAAAGTTCATATTCCAATGCTGTTTTAAACTTCCCGAGCCACGATCTGGGAAGCCTTCCCAACAAATTGCGGATTGACCATTGTTTCGAGTTCAGCAGGTGATTTGCAACAGGTGCCATGCTCAATGAGCTTGCTTGGATGGGGTTGCCAGGCGGCCGTGGAGCGTTTGACTGGGTGTAAGAGAGCCAACAAAAGGATTATGTTGAGGGACCCACAATCATAACTCACGCAAGACCATTCTGATTACAACGCAAAAAGTAAAAACCCGGTATTTCCTGAAAAAACCCCAGATATTTTGCCATACCTTTAAAATAAACGGATATTTGCTTAGAGGGGTGTTCTAGTTTCAACATGTTTCCACGCTGCAGCCGGCTCAAAGAAGTGCTTGGTGGCCGTAATGAACGGTCACGTTGCCGCAAACTCGAACATATCCCGCTAAAAAGAAAGAATGCCGGAATCTAATATTTTCTTACAAAAACAAAGAAAGAAACTGAGGGCGTAAACCCATGGAAACCTGCCATCTGGATATGGCAATCTCAATATCCGGAACGCCCTGCACGAGATGAGGTGCTTGGCATGTGTTTGCATTATATAAGTCAGCAATAGAAATCCCATGGTGACCCTTCTGGGATCGTCTTACCCGTCGGTCGCTTTTTCCTGCTTGCCCAAGTCTGGGGTACTTCAGATTCTGGTCCACATTTCGTCTACCGCTCCCAACAAATCTCACCTGCGGGAAGGTACCTGGAAGATCAACTTCCTGGAAGGACCCACTGTCGGGCTGTCAGGTGCCGTGGTTGTGCGGGAGGAAGGGTACCCCAACAAACCGAAATGGCTGTAGCTCAAATAACTGTACCAAAATGGCACCTTGGCAAATGGAACCAAAGACTAAAACCTGCGTAAGCCTAAGTCTTTAGTGTTGAGCCACGCTCAATAGTCGCTCTGGCCTCGATCAGCACGTGCTTGGCTGTGTGGATGTAGATCAGCAACTTCCCAGCCTGGCTGAAAAACAACATGTTTGGTGTGGGTCAAAGAAAACAGGCACTCAAAATTGGAAGCATTCAAGTGGGTCAGACAAAAAAGGTACTCAAATATGAATCCAATTATTGCATTTGTTGGCATGTTCTCAAGAGGAAAAGGACACCCGGCCACATTTACAGTCGTCTTCATCTCGGATATCCCTGCACGTAGGTGCCTAAGGGGAACCCGACACATCCTTGCGACACGCAGCTTCCAGTCAGAGCCCCAAATGGGAGATTCAGGCTTGCTCGCTTCGTATAGTACTTGTTTGGCGCTTCTGTAATATCCTGCAGGCCCAGAGCCGTAAAAGACGGCACCATCTTGCCGAATGACAGGCAACCCTAAACCCTAAGCCACGAATTCAACACCGTAGCTCCCATGCTGCCAGCATGACCCAAGGTCAGAACTCCTTGGGCTATGGCGTCGATAGGAATCCTGATCAATGGGGGCTGATGAATATTCCTGTCCAAATGGCCATGGGTAGCTTTTCCGCATGGGAAATATCATCCATGCTCACCCGATACCTTTGGATCAACCCCCAAATGGTCCTAGGAAATCTCTATCACGGCGTTCATAAACATCACTACCAACCCCATCAGCTCCCTCGACCATCGGTGATGTTTGCACTACCCGGTGATGAGCTCATGTGAGCTCATTGTACTAGTGCAGGACAATTTTGAACAGGTTCCTCAAGGGATACATCAATCCAACAACCTGTTTCACAAGGAGCTCCTCTACATCAACCTGCAGCGGTATTTTGTTAAAAATGGGTCATATCCTTTCAGGGGTCCAGTTGGCAGCTTCCTTGACTTTCTTGGATTGAAATGACGTCCACCTTGGGTCGTTGATTCCTGGCCAAAGTGTCTTTCAACTTTTATCAAGACATGTCACAAACCAATCACTCTCAGCTCCAGAAATTGTCTAACAATTTGACTGGAAACCCCCCGGCATTTTGGGAATTCCCGCATAACCCAGGGCAATTCGCGTTGTGTCTTGCCGTTGGGCCTCCCCTTCTAAGTATTCGTGCTCCTAAGGCTTGCTTCCCACCTTCCCCAGATTTCCCCTTCGCTGGTGAAAGGGCATTGGAACTGCCAAGCATTGACTGCGATGTGATCCGCAAGCGGCCTGTTGCAGGTGAAATATCACGCTTGGACGCGTGTGGCACACGCATCTCATTGGCAATCTGCGCGCGAGAAGTCCAGGAAGGCAATTGCGAACCACTCTTGCAGTGTTCCCCCTCGCTCAAGACAATGTCTCGCTGATTTTGAACCAAGGCCCACCCAACGAAAGGGATTGAACCAACACGGCGATAGGCTTGTGACCTCCGGTAGGGGCCGCGTTGTGTGGGGGATTGCGGAAGTGAGTCGTAGAGCCGTTTTCTGTTGAAGGGAAACCAACCGGCTCCTTTAAATTTGGGGAGGTTTTTCTTTGATACAACAATTTGATCCTTTGAAGTGGAGACACCACCATTTTGGAGGTCCGAATTTGACACAAACCCAACTACGTTTGGAACATAGCTTTTCGGACGGGCCTTGTTCAAGGGGCTGTCCAGCAACGTCATCAGGCACTGGTGCGTGATGTCGGGCCTGCACTGTCGCGCAAGTGCCCTCGTTGGGCCTGTTGGGCTGATTGAAACGGAAACCAAAGGGACATGATGCAGCCTTCTTCGTTGGGAGGCTGCTTAACACCTTGGTGGCTTCAAAGGGAACAGGAAAACCGCCATCCTTGGCCCACTATTGTTGGACACGGACCCATATAGAAACGGTCCTGCTGCCCCACCCCCCACTGGATTTCAAGAAATGCAAAGTCCCGGTCATGTTGACAGAGTCGCAGTTTTCTGATTGCCCGCAAGGATCTAAGCAAATAGACTTGGGTTGTGCGGTATTTTAAAGTCACGTTGAGTCATGATCATGGGGGTAAACCAATAGACATTATTGAGCCCTTGTATTAGACCCGGTTCTGCCGTGGCAGAAGCAAATAGCTTTGGGCATCCTCTGTGTTCCACAACACGTAGGCCGTGGCCATGTGTGACTCGATTACCTATGACCATGTCCGCTAGGGTCCTGAGAAGTGTCATATTCTAAGTGCAGTCAAACACAAGCTCAACGACACATTGCGACAATGCGAAAATATGCCACAACATTTTAGCAATGTGTAACACTGTACATGAATGTACTGAACATACCGTAAAGTACTCAAAGCGTTATGTTACTGCTTTGCAGAGTCTTGAACGTACTGCATTCTATTACCAGCCAACACACGCCAACAAACCGGCCCCCAAACGGATTCATGCATCTATATCAGCTTTCGCCTGTGGGCGGGAAGGCTGCCAAGTCAACCCCGTTGCCCCGTTTACAGGGCGCGACGAAGGTCCAAGCCCCATTCCTTACTTGCTGGTGATCAGTAGGGAATGTCCAAGGCCAGGTGGGAATGAACAGGAAGGGGATTCCCTTCCAGGAAACCATAGGGGATGGTTTGTGCCGGGGTCATTCCAACTCATTCCTTGCCTATCGAACCAGCAAGGAAGGTGAAACCAATTCGAAGAGTTGACCTCCTTACAAGCAGATTCTTACCCCTGGATCCTCGTTTTCAGGTCGATTGTGCATATCACAAAAAACAACTACGAATGAAAACAGAAAACTAAAGAGATCACCGTTGGAGGAACTTCCTTGTGGACCCTTAGGTGGGTTTCCTTCGGTCAATTTGCAGTACCAGAAGTGGTTGCTTTGTTTATCAGGCCTCTGCTCGGAACAACCCACTTGCAAATGCCCTCAACATGATTTTAAGACTAAGCAAACCTCGGAACATCAAGCTGGCATTTCAGGGTCCCTTCACTTTTCTCAGCGACTCCAGCCCATACCCTCCACTGGTCCCAAAGTCACTGCGTGTATCACCAGCCCAAAGGACGCGGCAGAACCTTTGGAGCCCTGATTTGTTATTCTATTTTTTGTTTAAAGTGAAAGAGTCGGCTTTGGACTAAGCGAAGTAGGACCCAAGTACTTGGATTAAAGTTGTGAAACAATAGGGTCACTACAAGCATCATCCAGGGCCTCCACCAAAACGCCTAGCTTCGTGAGATTTCCCGCGCAGGGTTGAGGAAATTAAGCCTTTCTGTGCCTCTGAGCCAAAGTCGGCCATCCCGACCAGTTTATCGCGGGGATTCCCTCGCGCGGGTTGAAACCCGATGGAGCATCGCTCGTTTCAGACCCATTCGCTTCGGGTTCTACAAGATGGTTTTAAGAGCTTTCTGGCGTAGGCCTTACAGTAACCATTCTTTCCAAGCCTTGGTATGGCAGCAACAAATGTTAAATTTTGCGGCCCCTACTAAGAATAAAAAAACAACAAGCACTAAAAACCTAAAACCATAATCCAACAACTGTGAAGCCTTGTTCAGCCGGGTAGAACGGAGGTTTTGGGCGCTCTTCTCCCCGTCCATCCCAGAAGAACCCAACCCGACTCGCTCCTCACATCCGCAAGGTCTCGTCCATTCTTGGCACACAGCCCCTGGCGGTTCTCGCGATGTGAGCCTTTGTGGGCCATACTATGCTGTGGACGGACAAAATCAGCCTCGTGCCTGGTAGGTGGCTTATCCCAGTATCCAATGGCCAGTCATGGCTAAAAGGAACAACCATGTTGCCACGCATGCCCATGTGTATTTCACCTCGCAAAATGCGGGGGCATCAAAACATGGCGACTGGGAAACTAAGTTTCAGGGGAAACAAGGGAGACCAACACCTTTCCGCAAAGGAGAGGTCCTTCCTTCATGGGGATCCCATGAATTAAACCCCAGCCCAGCTGTTGGGCCAGTCTCGTTTCCTGACGAGACCCGTTTCTTTTCTTTATTTTTGTGTGCGTCTTTGTTTAGGGTGCCCGTTGTTCGGTGGTTTCAAAGGGACACCAACAGGAAACAACCCGGAGTTTCAGGGCTCCCAGAAAAAACATCAACCCATACTGTGGATGGACGGAATCCTGCACCACCTTGAAACCATGGGAAACCATGGGTGGTGCGAAATGGATTTCGCAACCATCCACGGTATGTCAGCCCCGGAGGCTGGAGGCCTTGTGGTCGTCGCTGTTCATCAGCTCCATCGCACCCTGGCATTTGTACCCACGCATCAAGGGATATGGATGGAGACGATCTGTTGCGAAGCCCTCTGTGGATTGGTTTGCCCAAGGGAACCCCGCCCAGGGCTCATGTGCAAAAAGGAACTGGGTGAGTAGTCTCTTCACACATCATGTACTCACATCAAGGTAGTAATCTAGGTCCTCCAGATTAGAGAGGTTAGAATAAGGGTACCAACTTTTTTTTCTGTCGTCTATTTCAGTAGGGAACCCTCCCAACCAAAAAAGACATGGGTGAAAAAGGGCACTACTGGGGACCTAGTGATCCAAAGCCCCGGGGCCTTCTACCAATGTTCTACCCTTGCGCCTTGGTCGTAGGTTATGAGCAACCTGAAACGAACTGTGGCAAACCCCTTCTCAAAATCAAGCGTCTGCCGCGGGAACCAGTTCCACACTTCCGCTGACCTAAAGGAAAAAGGCTGCCAGGGAAGAAAAACCAGTTCTCTGTGTGAAGGACAAACTGAAAGGGAAGAAAAACCCACGACTTGACACAATTGGGCGATAGTACTGCTTTTGTCATAGCCCTTGGTTCTCTGGGTAACCTCCGATTTGCGGGGTCTATACTATAAAAGACGCCAAAGGCTTGCTTACACTCAGGGTAAGAGGGCGATGTATCAGCAGATTGTCCTAGCACAGGGAAAGTCAATGAATGCTTGTCTCAAAGTAATTAGGGGACCTTTCAAAGCTGCTCCTTTTTGAAGCTTCAACCAACAAAATGACACACCCACACATGGCCTTTAAAGGTCATGTTGAAACCAGTCAAGCGGGGAGAGTCCCAGGGCCGCCGATCAGGCCTCAACTGTTGGCAAACCCTGGCGCACCCTAAGAAATCCGAACTCTGTAAGGGAAGACTCTCTTTCATAGACCCTTTGCTGGCCCTTTTGGGGCTCTATGTCGAACTTGGTGAGGTTCCAACTCGCTTTTTTTGCAAGGGGACCTTCTAGTAGACTTTGGGCATTTCTGTCGAACCCTTTGTGAGATACCAACGCTTAAAAGGCCAACTCGTCATTTTGACCAAAGAGCGAAGCCACCGGAAAGCCGAAGACGCGCCTTGCGAGGCGCGATGACCTCAAGCGGGCACTTCTCAAGGATCACCACCTCAGAGCAAGTCTCCGCCAAGATTGAGGTCGCCCCAAAACTACTCTATGCGGGTTTGTCTCAAAAGAAGGCCCCCCCGCCCAAATTGGGATTCTGCGGGCTCCCCTTTAAAACCATCCAAAAACATACCCCCAAAAGAGACACACCCATGTTGAATCATAGAACGCGATCATAACATTTCATGTCTGGTGCAAAAAGCGTGGCCCAGAAGCTAACATCTAGAACTGAGATATTTAGCTGGAATGCCAGGGGCTTCAAAGGAAACAAGTCAAGAAGATACTGCGGACAAAAACCACGTCGCACCAAAAGGATGAAACTCTCCGGGTTAAACTTTAAACCTTGGGAACAACTCAGCGGGGATACGGGGAAGCGGGGATGTGCGGGGATTCCCTAAGGAAACCATGTCTAGAAATTACCCGCAAAATATGCCCACATCCCTGCTCCCGTGCAAAACATATGTTGTCCCTCAGGTCGTGAGCCTCGGCACCCACAAGGGGGTGCCGTTTCAAGTTCGGCAGGCCCGGGGGGCAAGCCATAGCCTACTCTTTCATCCGATTTGTTCAAGGTACATTGGCAACTTACCTCCTTTATAGCCAGGGTTTGACATCATTTGAACATCAGTGGCATTTGGAGTACACTTCCTCGACTCGGCCAGAATCTGGAAGACACAAGGGTCACTAGATGTCCCTTCAAAAGTTGATCAATTTCCTGGTGATGTCTACTGAAACTGCCACTCTTGGAGGTTCCAAAAAGGGAAATGGAGGAGTTTCTGAGAGAGGGTGCGGGAAAGCTCGTTTCTCTGGGGATCCAGGCGATGCGGCGAGCGTTCATTCGCTCCTGGGCTATGCGAGTCATGGACATTTGGGGGAGTTTTGGGGCGTTGGGCGGGGGGGGGCAGGGGGGGTATCCATGGATTTGACCAGAAACAAGCCATCCCTGTCGCGAGCGAGCCTGGCAAGGCACACTGGATGGCCTGAGATGATGTCCAGCTTTGGAGCGCTTCATGCCACCAACATCCTTCACTCCATCTGCCGAGAAATTCCGCCAGGAAGCACAGGTCGCAGGCAAGTCTAGCGGGAACCCGGAACTCTGGGTCCCAAGTCGCCCCGTCTGTCGCCGCGTAGGTTGAGGCGCTTGGCCTTCACTGTGTAACAAATGCTGATTCCTTGAAGGTCCACTAGGTCCTCCAGATTTGAGAGGTTAGAATAAGGGTACCAACTTTTGTCTGTAGTTCACCCATCACTCACTTGAGTGGATTGGCCAAACAAGTCCAAACGTCTTGCCACAAATATGCCACGTCTAGAGACAGAGAAGAGCATGAGTGAGAAGAGAGGCAAGGGAAAGGATATGTCAAGAATGGTCTTTCCACATAATCTAGAGTCGTCCAAGAACTCAGGAAGTGAGTTACCCATTTCTTGTTCAACCAGGGCTTGCTTGATTCCACTGCGATGTCATGGACCTCCCCCCGCGAAGGGGCCTAGCCTGTAAGGCCTGTGTCGGGCTTATCGGATTGACAACCAGCCGATGATTTTCGTCGAGGGTGTGAATTTGTGTGAGGGTTCCCTTTTTGGGGTGGCAATAAACGGAAAACCAAAAGGAGAACGATTCCAACAATTGGTCCCAAAAGGCTCCTCTAATGAAAGCCTTTGAAATTCCATGCTACAGGTGGGGTAAAGTCAAACCAAAACAAAAGAACCAGAGAAGTAAACCATAAACAAATAGCAATCATTCATGTAGCCCTTCACATTAATGTCAGCTTCATACTAACCCGGAGGACGGTAGTCATCAGTGGTGGCTCCCCTTTTGAGAATAGCATTTCTGCGGGAGAGCATTTACCCTTCGGCAACCTGAGAGGAATATCCCCGCAGCTTTTGGGCTGACCAGCATGGCATCGAGGACAGTGGTTCTAGGGGTTGATTCCTTGTCCATTCTTTTCAAGCATCGTTCTTTCCAAAAACCAGATCCGTGTTCCCTGGGTTTCCGGAGGTTTTCCAGAAAGAAGGATCCCTGGAAAGAATGGGGAAGTGTCCCCTAGAGTGGTTGCTTGTTCCTAGTTCATTCGGCGAGTCAAACTTTCAGAGGGATCATGGTTTCGTCTCCAAGTAGGGCTACCCCGCTTTCTGATTGGATGGCCATTTGTTTTCTTTTTTGTATCGACACTAAAAGAGCTTTCCGAAAAAGCAAAAGTTCAGGAACTCAGGAAGTGAGCTAAAGACATAGTTTACGTTCAGTCTCGCCTTAAGCCAACCTCAAAAAACAAACGAGCCTCAAAAAAGACACACCCATAAGTCATCAATCCCTCGTGGCCAAAGTGCAATCTCAGCAATGGAGACCAGGAGTGCATTTGCAATTGTTATTCGAATTCCAAAACCTTCCTTTCCACGTTGGCAAAGCCCTGCAAGCTGATAATCCAACGGGGCCCGCAGCAAAGTTGACAACCCCAAGAACTCCGAATGAATCCCCACGAGCCAAGGCAAGGTTTCAACTGGAAGGACGAAACTGCGTACCCTCTTTCCAACAATCATGGAAGCGGACAAGGGGCTTCCCCAAAAGGAAGGTAGTCTGCTTCCATGATTGGAGGGAGGGGAGAATGACATTGTCAAAGACCTGGATCCTTTTCTTTCAACTGCCAACTGGTCGGGGTCTTCAAACCAATTTTGCAGGGCACCCACTTCCTTTCTTTGGGAGAGGGCGCTCAATAAAACTCCACATGCACATCCGGTTTCCCCAAACCCACTCAAGAAACCTTGGGATCTTCGTGCCTGCAACACGAAACCGTGGCAAATGAAATTAGCTCAAGACTGGTTGAACAATCGAAACCAGGTCCAATCAAAACCACTCAAATGGATCCACGACGGTATGTGTAGTTTTGTTTAAGACCAACTACAGCTGGCCGCTTGCTTCGGGATTGCTCCCTACTTGCATCAAATTACTCCGGGTTGGATTGTGGCTCATGTGGATCTACTTGGGTTCATAGCTTGGTTTTTAGCGGGTTTGTGGCACTGGGTCACTGCGCGTCTTGAGAATCGTCATGCAAGAATCGTCATGCACACACCCGAAATAATCTGGGATAGTTTCCGGAATTGTATCCTAACCGCTACCCGGTTGATGGGAGATTAAGCCACTTCAGGTGTGTATACCCTGTGAAACCATCTTGGACGTAAGCGGGTGTGCATTCCACTAGGACACCCCCAAATTGGTCGGCTTTCCCTTCGCCGCTTGAAAAGCAGATCCCCAAACAGGGCACCGAGCCTCGCCCCACAGGAAGTGGACGAGGCGCAAAGGTCAAACGTTGCCACCCAGCGCAGGGGACCACGAGCGCATCTGGTTCTTGGTCTTTTGCCAAATGAACAACCATAGAGCATTGCACAACAGTGCTTATTTTGAGGGTGGCCCCTTTTTGGGGTGGCTGAACGAGAAACCAAAAGGAAGACCGCCATTTGGTAAATTCACCATATTTTGCCACATACCGATTCATACCGAAACCTGAAAAGCCCACCGCAAAATCATTCCGCTTGCCTCCAGAGTCCTTGGGAGTAGCTTGTCAGCTGCAGATGGGCCATCCACCTTCTCCTCGGCTTCAGCGGCCGCAAAACGACTAGGTTTTCCAGTAGAGAGGCTAGAATGGGGGGCGCCCTTTTTCTTTAGTCTACTTTAGCAGGGGAACCCCCCCAAAAAGGGGAGAGAAGGGCACCTAGCCCTCCCCGTGATCGACTTGATGGAAAACATCCCAGGCCTAGGAAGTTCGGAGCTGGGCTGCAAGAAGATCTGGGAACTCTCACCTGGGGTATGTGAAAATAGCCACTTCAGGATTGGGCTAAGGTCAGGTTGCGAGTGCGGTTGTTTGTTGCTTTTCGAGCTGGGGTCCTGTGACACCGGACGAAGATTTGCAATCAAAGGTCTTGGCAGGACTAAACATGCTCTTTTGGGATGACTTAGCATCCACATAAAAGGTTCCTTTTTCTGTAGGTGCCTTTTTTGTTGCGGGGGGCAGCGACTCGGTGGGGTGCAAGCAAGGAAGCATGCATGCAAGCACGCAAGCAAGCAATCAAGCAAGCAAGCAAGCGAGTGCACAAAACAACAACAACTTCCACAAGAAACACACACCAATCGGCAAACAGAACCGACCCCCAGCCCGCCCAATTCGCGGCAGAACTGTGGCTGCTGCCACAAGGCTCTTGCGCCGCTTCTGGGCCTTTTTGACCAAGCCTTAGCACAAAAACACCCCACTGCCAGGAATTTATTGGAAACTTCGTGTCTACAAAACCCAAACACCAGTTGCTGCTGCTTGAAGAAAGACCGGCGCAAGTAAGGAGGGGATCTCGGTAGGGAATGACTGAGCTTTGGCATGGCATCAAGTCACTCCGACCAATCAAATCTGAGCCCAACCAACCAAGCTATGGTGCCCGGCTATCAAATTTTGCTTGGGCTATTTTGGGGGCCATGGGTGGGGAGGCTGGGAAATAATCTCACTTTTCTTGGCCGACATTCGGGCTAGACCAACATATGTTCTGATTCAGTTCCATTGTGAGCCGACGCTATGAAAAAGAACTTTGGGGCCGGAGACCCCAGCTTGGACTCTCATGATTGTCACGCTTACATAAGCCGTACTATAAACCCCAAGAAGCCAGGCCACCAGCCATTCAGCAAGGAAGGCAAACATAAACAAACTAGTGTCTAAGACGAAGCCATTCACCAAGACAAAGCCACCGGCCATTTGGAAATACTAGACCAAGCCACCGCACAATTGGAAATACTAGACCGAACCATTGACTAAGTTGGCACTGTAAGAAACTACGCAATGGGTATGAGAGGGGTTAAGCGAAACCAAATGGCAATCTGCAGTCCATGAAGGAACATCGTGTTGAGCAGCGCCCGATTCTCTGATTGACTTTGGGCACCAACTTCTTGGCTCAAGAGTTGAGCCAACCAACAAACACTCCAGACTGTGTTCCATAGTCTCTAAAAATCCGCCGACAACAGACGGCGTGTTCGACACAAAAAATGCTCCTTACCTCTTTACCTGTTACCCCTCCCCTAACCCCTCCCCAGGGGCACCATTTCAGACTATTGCGGGGGGGGGGGGTCCACGTACCACGCGGTGATTCGAAGACGCTTCACCGCATCCTCAGCAGCTCCAGCGGCACATCGCCAGCATCACCTGCATCATCCGCATCAGCGCCTGCCAAGGATACGGATGATGCAAGTGATGCTGGGGATGTTGCCCATGCTGGTGAAGGAAATGAAGGGGGGAAAGAGGGAAAGGATCTCAACAGCGAAAGGGGGGGAAAGATCTCAGGGAGGAAAGGGAGAAGATCTGGGAAAAAAAAGCCTTAAGGGGGAAAGGGGGAAAAGATCTTTGGGAGGAAAAGGGAAATCTTTCTCGGGGGGAACAGGCCCTAAGGGGCAATGGGGGGACAGGATCTCAAACGGGAAAGGGGGATAAAGACTTTGGGAAGAGAAGGGTGGAGATCTTGGGGGGAAAAGGCTGCTGGATTTACCTCTGGGGACTTTGAAATGCCAGGCCCTTCCAAGAGGTGGCGCTACAAAAAAAATCACTGGACTCGGTTGGCCTTGAGCCCTTTGCCATGGACTCCGCGAAAAGTGTGGAACGTGTCCAGTGCTAAGGGTTGATCCGCTCTCCGCGTTCTGGCCCCCTTGTTCTAGGAAAAAGGACACAGCGCCTCAACACTGCCCCACACACTGAACTCCAAACACTGAACTCTGTTCAAACCTTCCGCGGCTGTCCACAGCTCTTTTGTTTCTCTCTCCGGGCACCGCAGGAATTTCGAGCCATCGGACCGAGTGTCTGTGTGGCAGGGGGTGCGGGGGGTGGTCGATGAATTGCTACGCATGTTTTACAGTATGCACGCATGCATGCACACAAAAATAGTAATATCACTAATAATGTGAATGATAAAAAACAAGCATTATATTCTATATATTAAAAACAATATGATAATAATAATAACGATCTCACTAATAATAATATTCCTTATATATATATAATGTGCAAGGTGCCTGCTTGGTACATTTGCCGCCCCGAGTCGCAGTGTCCTTTGTTGGGTCACTATGCGCAGGTCATCGATTTCACTCCGGCTTCATTTAAGCCGTTTCTCATGAATAACACGAATATACATGTTATTGTAGCAATCCATCCATAACACATCACAAAAAACACAATGTAATCACATACTAATAAACTTTGAAATTCACACGCTGGTTCATGAACATAACAAAACTGACAACAATACCGATGTGTATGAAGCTATATATCTGAATCTGTTGTTTTGAACATATATGTTCTATCTGTATTGGAATATGAGCATAGTAAAAGGGAACCAACCACCTGGATGTGGGAGGGGTATGGGGGGACACACTTCATCTGCAGGAGACAAACGGGGGGAATCCGCCAATCGTCCCATGTCAATTCGGGTGTCGGCATTGTTTGGCCTTGGCTCAGAGAGATTTACATTCTAAAGACAATGCAAGAGACGCTGCCAAAGATGGGTACCGGTTTTATTGCTGCTTCCTTTTAACTCCATCCAAAAGTTGAACCCCCCCCCCCATTTTAGCAGCATAGTCATGGCCATAGGTCATTCATATACACATATAAGACAGTAGGAAATTTGTGTCTAGATATACATACATATACGATGAACCACATATACAGCATATTTAGCATATTTGCCACGCAATAATATAAAATACCAGGTAAACAATATGAATACCTATCTATTCAAATCGTGCCAGTTTTAGTTCCGTAAAGCCATCCAAAGAAAGGTAGCCACTCTCTTGGAGGCAATTGGCACCCTCATGCAGGTATCTGAACTGTGGCGCGCGGTCTTGCACAAATCTTCCCTCGGGTTCCATGTACATCTGAAAGCCAGCCGCTTCCAACTTGAGACCTTGTATGGTCATTTAACAAATCGGATCAATGAGGAGTTGGGGAATTCGACCCAAGAACTTATTTGGTTGCTTTGATTGGTCTCCGCTTCTGCCACTCAACTGGGTGTTGATTGGGGTGTCTAAGGAAATCAAGAAACCATCAGCTTTTGACCACCGCCGTTCCACGCCTCGCCATCGCTTCCCACTCATCACACCCTTCCCGTCTTAGCCGCGCCCTTGCCGCGCACGCGCATGCTGCATTGCTTCTTCAACATAGCCTCTTTCACAAGCAAACCTCTCGGAAAATGCGCAGTTCGAACCGAACATACTGATACTGTGGATGGACGAAACAAGTTGGGGGAAGTACAGCTAGAAATATGGTCGAAGGTAACCACGGTGACGGCAAGATTGAAACTGGCCGCGCATGCCTCTGTCTCCGAGCCATGCGGATAGGGCGCAGCGCACGGACGCACAGGCAACGTACCCCAAATAGGTTTCCTCCCACACATATACGGTGGATGGACAAAATCCTGCAACAGTTGGGAGGGATGTAGACGGATGCAGCCGTGTGAGAAATGGGAAACTACCCACCAACTGGTGAAGCTTAGGAAGGAAAAGGGAGAAGCTCTCAGGGGGGGAAAGGCCTTGGGAGGGAAAGGGGGGAAAGGATCTCAACAGGGAAAGGGTGGGAAAGATCTTAGGGAGGAAAGGGGGGGGGAAGATCTTAGGGAGGAAAGGGAGAAGATCTGGGAGAAAAGGACTTAGGGGGGAAAGCCCAACAGGGAAAGGGGGGAAAAGATTTAGGAAGGAAAAGGGAGAAGCTCTCAGGGGGGGGAAAGGCCTTAGGGGGGAAAGGGGGAAAAGGATCTCAGCAGGGAAAGGGGGGGAAAGATCTTAGGGAGGAAAGGGAGAAGATCTGGGGACAAAGGCCTTAGGGGGGAAAGGGGAGAAATGATCTCAACAGGGAAAGGGGTGGAAAAGATCTTAGGGAGGAAAGGGAGAAGATCTGGGGGAAAAAAGGCCAACAGGGAAAGGGGGGAAAGATCTAAGGAAGGAAAAGGGAGAAGCTCTCAGGGGGGGGGAAAGGCCTGAGGGGGGAAAGGGTGGGAAGGATCTCAACAGGGAAAGGGGGGAAACAATCTTAGGAAGGAAAAGGGAGAAGATCTGGAAAGGCCTTAAAGGGAAGGGGGGAAAGGATCTCAACAGGGAAAGGGGGCAAAGGATCTTAAGGAGGAATAGGAAGAAGATCTCAGCGGGGGGAAAGGCCGTAGGGGGGAAAGGGGGGAAAGGATCTCAACAGGGAAAGGGGGGGGGGAAGATCTCAGTGAGGAAAGGGAGAAGGCCCCAGGCAGGGAAAAGGCCTTAGGGGGGAAAGGGGGAAAGGATCTCAACAGGGAAAGGGACAAAGGATCTTAGGGAGGAAAAGGGGGAAAGGAGCTCAACAGGGAAAGGCGGGAGAAGATCCTAGGGAGGAAAAGGGGGAAGATCTCGGGGGGAAAGGGGGAAAGGATCTCAACCAAGGGAAAAGATCGTGGGGAGGACAAGGGGGAAGATTTCAGGGGGGGAAAGGCCTTAGGGGGGAAAGGCCTTAGGGGGGAAAGGGGGGAAAGGATCTCAACAGGGAAAGGTGGCAAAGGATCTTAGGGAGGAAAAGGGAGAAGATCTTGGGGGGGAAAACGCCTTAGGGGGGAAAGGGCGGGAAAGGATCTCAACAAGGAAAGGGGGGAAAAGATCTTAGGAAGGAAAAGGGGGAAGATCGCGGGGGGAAAAAAGGCCTTAGGGGGGAAAGGAGGGAAAGGATCTCAACAGGGAGAGGGGGGAAAACATCGTAGGGAGGAAAAGGGAAAAACTCAGAGGGAGAAAGGGCCTTAGGGAGGAAAGGGGGAATGGATCTCAACAGGGAAAAATGGCAAAAGATCTTAGGGAGGAAAAGGGAGAAGATCTCAGGGGGGGAAAGGCCTTAGGGGGAAACGGGGGAAAGGATCTCAGCAGGGAAAGGGGGGGAAAGATCTTAGGGAGGAAAGGGAGAAGATCTGGGGGCAAAGGCCTTAGGGGGGAAAGGGGAGAAATGATCTCAACAGGGAAAGGGGTGGAAAAGATCTTCGGGAGGAAAGGGAGAAGATCTGGGGGAAAAAAGGCCAACAGGGACAGGGGGGAAAGATCTAAGGAAGGAGAAGCTCTCAGGGGGGGAAAGGCCTCAGGGGGAAAGGGTGGGAAGGATCTCAACAGGGAAAGGGGGGAAACAATCTTAGGAAGGAAAAGGGGGGGAAGATCTTAGGGAGGAAAGGGAGAAGATCTGGGAGAAAAGGACTTAGGGGGGAAAGCCTAGCAGGGAAAGGGGGGAAAAGATCTTGGGAAGGAAAAGGGAGAAGCTCTCAGGGGGGGGAAAGGCCTTAGGGGGGAAAGGGGGGAAAGGATCTCAGCAGGAAAAGGGGGGGGGGAAAGATCTTAGGGAGGAAAGGGAGAAGATCTGGGGACAAAGGCCTTAGAGGGGAAAGGGGAGAACTGATCTCAACAGGGAAGGGGTGGAAAAGATCTTAGGGAGGAAATAGAGAAGATCTGGGGGAAAAAAGGCTAACAGGGAAAGGGGGGAAAGATCTAAGGAAGAAAAGGGAGGGAAGGATCTCAACAGGGAAAGGGGAGAAACAATCTTAGGAAGGAAAAGGGAAAAGATCTGGAAAGGCCTTAAAGGGAAGAAGGGAAAGGATCTCAACGGGGAAAGGAGGCAAAGGATGTTAAGGAGGAATAGGGAGAAGATCTCAGCGGGGGGAAAGGCCTTAGGAAGGAAAGGAGGGAAATGATCTCAACAGGGAAAGGGGGGGAAAGATCTCAGTGAGGAAAGGGAGAAGATCCCAGGCAGGGAAAAGGCCTTAGGGGGGAAAGGGGGAAAGGATCTCAACAGGGAAAGGGGGCAAAGGATCTTCGGGAGGAAAAGGGAGAAGATCTGAAAAGGCCTTAGGGGGAAACGGGGGAAAGGAGCTCAACAGGGAAAGGTGGGAGAGGATCCTAGGGAGGAAAAGGGAGAAGATCTTGGGGGGAAAGGGGGAAAGGATCTCAACCAAGGCAAAAGATCTTGGGAGAAGATCTCAGGGGGGGAAAGGCCTTAGGGGGAAAAGAGGGGAAAGGACCTCAACAGGGAAAGGGGGCAAAGGATCTTAGGGAGGAAAAGGGAGAAGATCTTGGGGGGGAAAACGCCTTAGGGGGGAAAGGGCGGGAAAGGATCTCAACAAGGAAAGGGGGGAAAAGATCTTAGGAAGGAAAAGGGGGAAGATCGCGGGGGGGAAAAGGCCTTAGGGGGGAAAGGAGGGAAAGGATCTCAACAGGGAGAGGGGGGAAAACATCGTGGGGAGGAAAAGGGAAAAACTCAGAGGGAGAAAAGGCCTTAGGGGGGAAAGGGGGAATGGATCTCAAATGGGAAAGGTGGCAAAAGATCTTAGGGAGGAAAAGGGAGAAGATCTCAGGGGGGGAAAGGCCTTAGAGGGGAAAGGGGGGAAAGGATCTGAGCAAGGAAGGGGGGGGGGAAAGATCTTAGGGAGGAAAGGGAGAAGATCTGGGGGCAAAGGCCGTAGGGGGGAAAGGGGAGAAATGATCTCAACAGGGAAAGGGGGGAAAGATCTAAGGAAGGAAAAGGGAGAAGCTCTCAGGGGGGGAAAGGCCTGAGGGGGGAAAGGGTGGGAAGGATCTCAACAGGGAAAGGGGGGAAACAATCTTAGGAAGGAAAAGGGAGAAAATCTGGAAAGGCCTTCAAGGGAAGGGGGGAAAGGATCTCAACAGGGAAAGGGGGCAAAGGATCTTAAGGAGGAATATGGAGAAGATCTCAGCGGGGGGAAAGGCCGTAGGGGGGAAAGGGGGGAAAGGATCTCAACAGGGAAAGGGGGGGAAAGATCTCAGGGAGGAAAGGAAAAATATCCCAGGGAGGAAAAGGCCTTAGGGGGGAAAGTGGGGGAAAGGGAGGAAAAGGGAGAAGATCTCAGGGGGGAAAAGGCCTTAGGGGGGAAAGGGGGGAAAGGATCTCAACAGGGAGAGGGGGGAAAACATCTTAGGGAGGAAAAGGGAAAAATCAGAGGGAGAAAAGGCCTTAGGGCGGAAAGGGGGAATGGATCGCAACAAAGAAAGGGGGGCAAGAATCTCAGAGGGGAAGGGGGCAAGGGGACAATTCCAAAGGGACGCAAATAAGAAAGCAGGCCTGTAATGTCGGCGGCCTGAGCCGGAGGCGTTAAAATATGGTTGTGTTTTATGGAGACCTCAGCCATGGCTCTGTAGTGCCTAAGCCTTGCCACGTTATCACGTCAGATCCGAGAAAGCCGAGCTGAGGCCCGAAAGGAAACGTCAGGGAGTGAGGTTCAAGGGGCCCTTTTTTATTGGGTGATTGGCCTTATCCATGTTGACCAGCCCCAAACAGCCCCAAACACAGCCCCTAGGTGCTCCAGATTTGAGAGGTTAGAAGAAGTTGGTACCAACTTTTGTCTGTAGTCTGTTTTAGTAGGGGAACGGAATCTCCCAACCAAAAAAAGATTTGGTGAGAGAGGGCACCTGGCTGGGAGACCTAGGCCCCTTGAACCAAACAAAAACAAACAAAAAATATTCGGATGCCTGAGCTTCTCGCCATCGGCGTCATCGCCTCCTGACACGACCCCAAAGCACCCGGGACACACAAAAACCGAAGCCATGTGCGCGCCTGAAACCCAAGTTGAGATGATCAAGATTTATATCGATGGACATAGGCCGTACCCATCGAGGCGTTGGGCCCTCGTCTCGTTCTCGCCATGTTTCTGGCGCATGTGAGGTCTGTGCGGCGTCAACATGTGCAGCTGGGGTCCTTGAAACAAAAGGAGGCAAACATGAAGCACAAATCTTGGCAAAATGCCTTACATATGCTTCTCCCATGATCACGGGAGTAATTTGGTTAATTTGCTTGAATGGTACCGCGCAACACCACTCGCCAATGGTACTACCCCCCCCCCCACCCCCCCGGCCCGGCCCCATTCGAGTCATGATCAAAACAATTGGTCCACCCAAAACCATACGAAGCTTACTATCCCACACACACGCAGATACAGGTTTTCCATTGTGCCCGCATTGCGGTTGACATGTATTCCCATATGGTAGGCCGCTTTTCTTTTGGCCTTTGTTTTCTCAGCTCACTTTGGCCCGCTCCTTTCCGCTTGGTCTTCTTCTTCACCATGCTCGATGTGATCCACAGAATCGGCCGGGTACGTGGAAGATCAATCATTCTTGAAGGGACCATTTCCCTGTCGAGTACCGTGGCAATGTGGAGGGAGGCGCGTTTTCCGAATGAGTGACAAGTGTTGGTTCACCGCGACTCTTGACGATGAACATCAGGACTCTCCTTTCACCCTCAAGCGTCCTTTCAAAGGCAACTCGCTTAAAGTTGGATACTTGCTGCGGAAGCTTTCCCTTCAGACTTCACGTGAACCATGTTCTGGGCCGTAGTTTTGAGGTCGTTGAAGCCAGGTTGGATTGTTGTTTTCAAAAGGTGCGATTGTGGCACCCCGGACGGTCACCTGCCCCAATAGAAGACCTGGCCAGGACCTGACTTTTTTGTTTTGAAGCCCAAAGGACTTGAGGCTGGAAAACCTGCACTCAAGTGGCAAACTGCCAGGTCAATAAATCAGTAAAAGGTGTCGGCGTTAGGCACGTGCAAGCCGAGGCATTGCTGAGAACTCAACCTGAAGTTCAGGCGTGCTGCAAACCATCAAAAAACAAATCACCATGGCCTCATCAGCACCAAAAGCGTGCATGTATGGAACGCCCGCACTAAGCAATCTCCCCGAACACCCCTAAGTCTTGCAGAATAGAATATCGATCGGTATTCAGCGTGAAGGGGTACATCCCCAAAACTTTGTCAGGGGGCCCTAAACGAATTCTCATAAATGAGGTTCCAGCTTGCACCTAAAAGCAATCACGAGTTTTGTCGCGTCCGAAACAAACCGAGTTACCCGCTCAACGGGTAGCCCTGCTTTCGAGGTCGAAATTCGGACACACGACGAAGATCCCTGCAGTGACGGGGCACCATTCCGCAGCTGCTGTGCTGTAGCGCTGGAAACGCTGGCTCTCGGGCACCTCAAACGGAATGCCTTTTGGCTTCCCTGCAAAGAGAATAAGCAAAAACATTCAGCCCTAACTCAGCCCTATTTTTGCAAGGCCGCCTTTCTTCGGGAATGTTTTAACTTTTGTGGGATTCTCAGGTCCATTTTAGAGCGGTTTACGCTGGGCTTAGGGCGCTGATTCTAAGGTGGTTGGGGCTGGTTTGGGGTAGGCTTGCGGCTTGGGGTGAATGAGGCGCCTGCGCCGTCGGAGAGCTCCCGCATGAGGCTCACAGTGCAACAGCCCGTCAGCTGCTCCGGGAACTGCTTTGGCAAAACAGGCCCGTGGCCAATGGCGCCTGTCAAGACGGAGATGTTACAACGCAGGGCTGCGCAAGCTGCCTCCATGTCCTCCTCGGACATTCCCCAGCCGAGCCCGCTCCAAGGTCGCGGCCGGAGGTCAGGTTCCCCGCCAACACCCGAACCAGCGTGGTCTCAAGCAGCTGGCGTGTTGGATCCAAAGCAACGCCTGGAAAAGTCAAGCGAGGGGAGACCGGGGGGCCCGGGCATTCTTGCTGCAGCCGCTGCGGGACAGAGGTTCGTGTGTTCAGGGGTGGTCTTGCGCGGTTTAGGGTGTGCTTGGGCTTAGATAGGGTGAGTTCAGGGCGGGTTTAAGATGGGCTTGGAGTGCATTCAGGGTTGGATTAGGATGGGTTTAGCTGGTGTGGATTTTTTTGGTGGGCTCAGGGTGGGTTAAGGTGGGGTTAGGGCGTGTTGTAGGTTCAGTTGGCTCAGAATAATTGTAGGGCTTCTAAGCGCTGATCTGTTCCGGGCTATGGTCAGGTATCACAGGTGGCCCTACTTCCCCATTAAAATAGTTACTTGCTGGATTTCAAAAAGAATGCTGGGGACAAAAGAGGTATTTGGAGCTGCCCCTTTCCAGAAGGTGTTGCACTTCCTCCGGATCCAGTTCAGACGATTCCCAATCCCGGCATAGGAAGTTGGGTGAAGGGTGAAGCGAATGGACAGGGAATCAAACTGTGCAACGGATTGGACAAGACAAAGGTCACACACAATGGAATTCCGGAGTGTATCAAACTGCCCGGAAAAGGGTAATGCCCACGTTGGATTCAGATGGTTAAGAAAAGCCAGGTAAGCCCAACCGTGAACAGGCGTCCGACTCTGTCTTCGTATTCTTGCGATGTGGAGGTCGACGATTGCAGTGGGAACCCAGTTGCAAGTTGGGCGAATCAAGGTCTGCCTGCCCCTTTTACTTTTTGAGCTCCCTTCTCGGAATCAAATTGTCCCAACCTTGGTCAACTTCTGGCTTTGATCATCTAGGTCCCCCAGTAATTAGAGAGGTTAGAATAAGGGTACCCTGTTTTCTGCAGTCTATTTTAGTACGGGAACCCTCCCCCAAAAAAGGAAGGGCACTACCGGGGGACCTAGTCATGGATTCGGAGTTGAAAAACGTTCGCGAGAACCTTGGCAGCTCCTCGGCTAGGACCCCGTTACAGTTTGGCGCCCTCTCAGATCATGGTCCAAGAGCTGGTCAGTGGCGACTTCCATCCATCAAATTCTGCCAGAAACCAACAACCTGAAATACAGGATGCCCGAATAAAGGACCAGAGCTCATTTCACCCCGGAGTCGGTGCGCCTTCAAATCGGCAGATTCATCCCACTCAGTGCCCTCCCCTAGGCCCACGGCGCCGTTGGCCTTGAAGAATTCTGTGAGGCGCCGGTTGCCGCCTGCGGTGCTCGCACCCGAGCCCGGCTGGGTGTGCTGCTCTTCCGGCTGGTCCGAGCTTCAATTGGATTCGTGTCCCGGATCACCGTCTTCCCAGGACCAAAGACCAGGCAAGAGAAGGGCCTTACCCCACGGACAACCGAAGGCATATACTGTCCGAAGGCATATACTCCACCCAGACTTGGCCAGACTTGGACCCCCTTGCTGCAAGTTGCTTTTTGCTGGTACCTGGTTACAGGGAACACGACGAAGGAAACCAAGCGCAAAGGCGCGAACAGGACGGTGAAGTCGGGCAATCAAGGCTTCTTCCGTAAATCAGGTTGGTGAACTACGGCAATTCGTGAAGACGTGAACCCCAGACAAATAAATTGATTTTGAAGAGGACACCGGGAATTGGAGTGTACTCCTGGTTGCGGGCCGGTTGCGCCCGTCCCCCCCTTCTCGTCCTAACCAACAGTACCAAAAAAAAGTTGCTCCTCCATTTCAAAGTGGTTGCAGGATTCCGTCCATCTGTACTCTGTTCACCCTAAAAAATACGAGGGTTTCCTTGGGCTCTTCAATTTTGAGCAACACCCCCCTATGGCTGTGGGTCAAAACCCTGTACCCCTGGTGAACATCAAAATAGGTGGTCATGGGTGTTCATCCACCCCAAAATGGAGGCAATATAAATTTCTTTTGGTGTGGCAATATAAATTTAAGTTGGTCCGACCCATCCTGGGACCCGACCAACCAGCCTGAGTTGAAGATGTTGATCTGCCGCTCCGTCCTTGGAAAGCCGGAAGCCGACCATTTGAAGTACAACGCCCCGGAGCTTCTCAAAAGGGTGGGGTGGACCCGTTGTCTAGTTGGTATTAAAGGGAAACCATAGACACACCAAGGAAAAACACAAAGGGAACCCAGCCCTTGGGGACATTGTTGTAAGAAACACTCATAGCGTCTTTTGAGGGTACAAGTACCCTTTTTGGCGTTGGGAAACCTTCGCCTTAAACCCATATTTCCCCTACTAGGAAACTCCAACAAAGATCTTACCAGCTAAACGAGACATGTCGGGACTGTCCAAGTATGGCGAATCAATCAGGTTTTCCATGGTATAGCAGCCAACAGTACGGGGTGAATTGTGGTAACTCACGAAAAATGCAAGATATCGACTATGAAAGCCAACTGTAGTGCTATGGGTGAGGTCGCTCGCGCTTTTTTTTTGCGACGTAGACCATCGTAGGTGAACCTTCAAAACCTTGACGAATAAAGGACCAAGGGGCTCAGGTCTGAGAACTGAGCAGCCAAGTGGCTGGTTTCCACTTGGAACATTTGAGGGCTTTTATCCCCTGCCCAAACAAAACAAGCAAGCAAAAAAAATGCCCAAAGCAAAACAAAAGCAAAACCGAAACAAAAGGCATAGTTTGATTGCGGCCAAAACGCCGCTTCGAGATAGGACTGGGGCCCCTTCCTTGAGCACGAGCTCAGTGCAGCTTCAAACTCCTTGCTGGTTCACAGCAAGGAAACATCTTGGGTTTTGTGAATGAACTTGGGGATCCCCTTAAAAGAAACAAGGGATAAATTATCCGAGGTCATTCCTCATTCCCTGCTGGGAACTAGCAAGACACAGCCGCCCTTCTCCGGAGACAAGGCAAACTGTCACATGCCGCATGAGCTGGGGGTCGGGGGGCACTTCTTGTCAGCAAGTCAACTGTCAGTAAACAAATCCGTTGGAGCGCCAACGGTAAGGGCAACAAGCGCGGCGTTGACATCGCCCTGGGCAGCCAAAAGCTCCACAGAGCAACTTGCTTTCCCATTCTTTCTCCCATTCTAATTTTCCGACACTTGGCCTATGCTTTAAGAGAAGGAAGTCTCTTTAGAGAATGGGGAAGGTACAGCTAGCGTTATACATAAGCCTTACTATAACCTTGTTATGAAACCAGGTCCCCCTGTTCCCACTAACACGGCACCTGACAGGGGGTCCCCAGAGAAAACTTATCTTCCAGGTACCCTCCCGGTGCTAATCATGTTAGTGGGAGGGAAGTCGAACATCGACCAAAACTTCTGCCGTTTCTGCCGGATTGGAAACGACGGACATCCCAGGGGCCCGGGCCAGGAGTCCATCTTGCAACTCCGGATGCGGGAGATGTGGGTGCCTCGCGGCTCCGGAAGGCACGGAGCGAGCTTGGCGGCTTTAAGGGAAGCCAAAGGTGAAAGGGACCGATCTGAATCCTGAGGGGCTTTGAGAGGCTCCATATGAGCCCCACAACTTCATATAAGATGTTCCATGTTTTGTTTCAGCCCAACTAGAATGCTAAATTGAACTTACACATTTTCCTACTGCTGGACTCATCGGATTGGATCAAGGCCCGGGCCCAGCTGTCGGTGGTGCCCCGCGCAGGTGATACCTGGGTGCCCGAACCCGTCCAAGCAAGGTACCTGGATCTGGCAATGAACCCATTTGTTGTTTCCTGCTTC